TGGTCACCCTAATCATATGCTGAAATGGCTAGTAAGTGACTATGTAGAACATTTGAAAAGACCTGTGGACTGAGATCCTCATACCCCAGGGCCTTAATAGAGGATTCCTCATTCCGTGTACTCAACTGTTAGAGGTTTGCTAGAGGTATGTACAGCATCAACGGATTTGTTGGCCACCTCAGGATGTGTCTTTCCAAAGTTCTTGTCATTTCTAAAGAGTCTCTTTTCTCCTCTGTTATCAGATTACTAGGGTGTCTGAGGTCAGGAGAATCCTTACTGTTTGCTAAGGGATGTGATTTTGTTGACAGATTATTTCTATCAGGGGTGTCATTCTAGTCCTTTCTCCTCTTTTCATATGTCCTTTTCTCAATTAAATGACTGAGATTCACCAAATCAGTGACCTTAGGAATTCCTACCAGTAGCCCAAGAATCTCAGGAATGATCTTAATGGGACTAGGCAAGAACTTCACATTTATAAACCTCAAAGGAATATTCTAGTAGTTGATTCATTTATATACTTTATTTTATGGAATGTATGTGAGGGATTTTCAAAGGCTGACTTCAAATTTACTTTTGAAAAAAATGTGTCTTAGTGTAGAACACTCACAATAGAGACAATGCTGCAAAGAATAAATCTCCTACCCTCTTTGTTGCTGTGAGACTGCAAGTCAAACTTTCATAGTATTTCCTCAATTTGCAAGAAATTCTTTGAGATTCACCTAAATATCAGTTTTCTACTGAATATAGAATATAGAACTGAGCTCAATGTTCATACTCATAGAAGATTTCAGCGGCTTCCCAGCTGTTTCATATTAATATAATTCTCTATACTCACTGAATTTTAAAGAAATGTTATAAATTTTAATGACTGTAAACTCTTTTATTTATCTTAGTTATTAGGACTCCATTTAACATTTCCTTAAAAATAATTTTTCCATTAGTTCAACACCACATTTTGTGAATTAAGTCAGTAAGACCCAGGGAGGATAACTTGTCAGATATCACAGAACTAGGAAGAAAACCCATGTCTTGATATCATAAAAAAAAGTGTAAAGATAACTCATAGAATGGGAGGAAGTACTTGTAAACCATATATCACATAATGAACTAATAAAACACGTAAACAGATGCTCAATATTACTAGTTATTAAGGAAATACTAATAAAACCACAAAGAGATACTACTTTTTACCCCTAGGATTACTAAAATTAAAAAAGTCTGATAATAACAAGTGTTGACAAGGATGTGATGAAATCAAAACCCTCACATGCTCATAGACATGTGAGATGGTGCAATTGATCCTTTCAAGCAGCCTGACAATTCCTCAGTTGATTAAACATAGAGTTAGCATATGTCCTAACATTTGTACTCCTGTATGTATCCTCAAGGAAAATTAAAACATAGATCTACACAAATATTTTTACATGAATATTTATGGTGGCATTATTCCTAAGAGCCAAAAAGTGAAGACATTAAACGGTTTACCAGCTAATGAATGGACATACAGAAGGTAGTATATCCATATAATAAATTATTATTCTGTTGTTAAAAAATGAAAAAAATACTGATAGAAATTACAATAAATGAAGATCAAAAACATTATACTAAGTGGGCCTCCCCTGGTGGCACAGGCGGTTGAGCGCAGCTCTGTGAAGCTGTCTGCAGCCTCTGAAGTGTTGGTTTGATACCAGCCAGTAGGTGAGAATCCCACATGGCGCGGCAGACCTCTCCTGTCTTGCTTGCTGCTCCCCTCAGCAGTGTATTTCGGTCAGTCTGCCTGTTCTGTTCCCTGCTCTGTCTCTGGTGAATCCTCTTACCCTCCTGCGCATCTGGCCTGTACCCTGGTTCTTGTATGCATGAATAAATAAATCTTAGAAAAAAAATTCTTTAAAACATTGTACTAAGTGAAAGAAATCATAGAGGCCATATACATGATTCTACAGATTCTACAGGGAAATCTACAGAGACAGAAAGTAAGTTAGTGGTCATTATCACTGGAATGGGAGAATAAAAGATTTTGGGGGACATAATACATAAAAGAGAGAGGAGATGAAATGTTGTAACATTAACTATGATGGTGGTTGCATGTATCTGAGTATATTTAAAAAACATTGAATTGTTTACATGAGAATATTCTAGGGTTTGTGAATTATATCTCAATAAAGCTGTTTTTTTAAATTCCTGAATTGACAAATTGCCTTTCATAAGAAATACTTTCCCCCTTTTTATCTTAGTTATAGAACCCACAACTTTGTTAATTCTACGTGAAGACCTCTTAGCTTCCAACCCTTCCCACCACGCTAACATTGTTGTGGTCATTGATTCAGTAGCATCTGTAAAGACATTTAAGAGGTGACATATCACCCTGATTTAACAATTTCTGATTTACCACCTCTGGGTGTATTTTAAATGTGTCTATTACAGAGAAGGCATGTCATTGTCATTTTCACAACTTGTGTTTTTAAAAAGTTGAAATTCCTCATGAATTACTTAAACTCATCTTTGGTCAGGTTGTGTAAATATTCAAAATATTCCCTTTTAAGCATTACAATAATAGACATTTGATAAAAATAAGGAATTATTTGGGGAACTTGCTTAGTATTTCAATATCTCAAAAATTAAAAACTTATGTAAAAATCAGATGTGGATCTTAAGAATTATAGACTTTTCCTAATTTTTAAATAGAGCAAACACAACAAATATTCTGATGGGAGAAGAGACGCATTTGAAATGAATAAATAGACATCCTCCCCTAATACCTTGGCCTGACAACAAAGTTCACTATTAAATCTAGGTATCTCAACTTAGTATTAACTGCTTAAAACCACCCACAAAGAGCAATTTCCTTATTAACACTGCTAACTGAAAAGCACATGGCTCCTGATTATAAGTTAAATTCAAAAGCTGGATACCAAAATATTTATTTGGCTTTGGAAATATTTAAGGGTTTTGTTCTTTTTTTTCATACTGTGTTTCTTTTTATTTTTTTGAGATAAAATGTATGGAAAACAAGGATCTGGGGTAAATTCATGAATTGTTCATTTAATCAGAGCATGTAGCCGAACTTTAGGTACTAAAAAAATCAAATTCCTGAATATTTCTGTCTCCTTATAAAGAGTTGAAACAAAAGACATATCATGACACTAAAATTACTGAATGTGAATAATTCTATGATGACTAATTGGCCGGTGGACAGAGAGGGGTTAATTAGGAAGTGTGGTCTTGCTGCAGACACTCCCCAACCACTGAATGATCTTGTATGAGTGGTATTAACTTCTTCATCTTCAGTTTCCTCACTTGTAGAATAAAAGACTTAAACAAAATTGTTTTGATTAAGAATCATTCCAGCCCTAAAGCTTACCCTTGATTGTATGTGCTTTCACCACACCAATGTTCATGCCTTGAAGTCTTCAGTTAGCTGAGGTGCCTCCTAGCCCAGCACTGGCAATGCCCTGGTAGTTTATACTGAGTTATACTTCAGGGTTCCTTTTAGGCTGTTCTTTTTTTAATTTTTTTTACATGATTGTAGTCTCCACAGTTCTCTCAACACCATATCACCCATGAACCATCCCCCTAGTCCCCTGTGTTCTCCTCTCCCTTTTTTTGACCACTCTGCCTCCACCTCCCATACAGTTTCCCTCAGGTCTATGGTCAGTTTGCTAGCTTTGTCTTTTTCTTGACTTTTACTTGGTTTCTCTATAGTTGCATATAATAAGACCATCTGGTATTTGTCTTTTTCCTTCTGATGTATTTTGATTAGCATAATCCCTGCCAGCTTGATCCATGTTGCCACAAATGGCATGAGTTTGTCTTTTTTGATTGCTGAGTAATATTCCATTGTGTATATACACCATAGCTTTTCCATCCATCTGTCTATTTTGGGGCATTTGGGTGGCTCCCCTGTCTTGGCTATTGTAAATAGTGCTGCGATAAACATAGGAGTGTAGGTTTCCTTTGGAATTAATGTTTTTGTGTCCTGTGGGTTGATTCCTAGTAGTGGAATCCCTGGATCATTTAATGTTTTGAGGAATCTCCACAAAGCTTTCCATAGTAGCTGGAACAGTTTACAGTCCCACCAGCAGTGTAAGAAGGCTCCTTTATATCCATATCCTCTCCAGCATTTGTTGTTTCCAGTTGTGGTTTTTTGTTTTTTGAATATAGGGTTCCTTATTTTCTAAGCAGTAAGCTATGAATCAGAAAGCAAAAACAATGTTTGCTCCATCGGGAAGAAATTTCTAATAATGATCCCTTCAATAACAAAATATTACCTATCAAGGCATTCCTAACCAGAGCAATGACATTTTTTAAGGGAGTACTGTATATTAGTACCCTTTCCAGCTTTGTAAAACTATTACTGAATGACTAGCAAGGAACACAGAGGACTCGGGGGTCAGTTGGGGTTAAAGCACTAACATTCCAAATCTGCTCATGGAACAGCAGGTGGATGAATGATTAACCCAGTGATAAATTGGTCAGTGAGCAGGTCTGAGAGGGTTGCTGGACATGGGGGGTGGTACACAGGATACAGGCAAGAGAAGGAGAGTCTGTCAAAAATAAGATTGGTTTTTAAACCATCAGCAGGGAAATAGATTAGTGTAAATATATAAATACACAAGCATGTATGATTTGACTAGTTTTGTGGTTATATCTGCAGATTCTGTTACTGGATTTAGAATAGTTTTCTGTTTCACAAATGCCAAATGTTTAGTTGTATGCAAACACACACACGTTTGAATGATAGGCACATTTAAATCACCATTCACAAATAGATTCAATTGTGAAATATCTATAAAAGAAACATCGTGTGTTGGAAGAGAATAAATGCAGGAAAAAGGAGGGCAAAAAGTTTACTCCCTTGGGGATGATTTGGGGCTATTTGTTTTCTGGAGGGGCTGAGTTAACCATCTGTGAAGGTGTTGCACAGACAAAACTGGGAAGTCAACACAAAGTCAAAGGAAGAAGAAAGGGGTTCACACCGCCCCCGCCCAGCCCAGTGGCAGCTCCCTCCGCCCTTCTTACTGTTGTGACTGCACCTGCTGCATGTGACCGCAGGCACAGAAGGCAGCCGCTGCCGCAGCCGCAGCCCCGGTGACGAGGCAGCCGCAGCAGCCCTGCCAGCTCCCTCCGGCTCTCATTTGAAAAATGGGAGACTGAGCCGGAGGAGGGGGCGGAGAAGCTCCTTGCACAGCTACTGCCCCCACGGATCCAAGGAGCCTCCTGGAATGGGCACTGGTCTGTTTTGATGTGGCGATTACCTCGGGAGTCCCAGGAGTTTAAAGACAGATGAGAGAAGGGAGAAGCCTGCAGAGACCATCAAAAGATGAGGTGTGCTCTAAAGGGATCGGGGGAGTCCTTTGACAAGAATCTGTCATGCACTGAAATGCTTTCTGGAGAAGGTGCCATTATTTGCCTCCCCTTGTGCTCAGATGAAAGGAGCCTGCAAGGACTGGTCTGAAGTATGCCTCAGGGACCTTTCTGTCATTGTTCCTCTTTCCCCTTGCACAGAGCTATTGCTGACCTTTCCAGAGGAATCTCTGTCCCAAGTTCCAGCTAAGAAGACAATTTCTTATTAAAAAACAAAAACAAAACAAAAAAAAAAAACAGCACAGTAATAATTCCTTCTTTTTGAATGGGAGGTGCAGCTTGTTTGCTGCAGTTCTTTTTGCTGTGACATTTTGGAATGTCTGCAGAAACTTTAAAAAAAATACCTTAAAAACTCCTTGGATTAACAAGAGGAAAGGAAGTTTTTGCCAAAAGGAAGTAAATGAGAGGTGGTAACTTATCCCTGATCCAGAACCTGGATGATCAAAACCTTTGAGTTCTAGGAATCAGCACTTCCAACCTAACATATAAACAAACAGGAGAAGCAATGGCTGAGGAGTGTCACGCAGAGGCAGGTTTTAAGGAAATCTGAAAACTGGTTGTGAACTTCGGGCCTGTATGATGCCTGAGGACCGAAATACAGGGGGACGCCCCTCAGCTGCCTTAGCATCGACACCTTTCATTCCTAAAACGACATACAGAAAAATCAAAAGATGCTTTAGTTTTCGGAAAGGTAGGTAGAGAATGTGCTGATGTCCTTTTTAAAAAATATGCATATATTCTCTGATGCTGTAAGGTGCGTCTTTGCTCAGATTAAAAGGAGAGTTTGGAAATAAGAGTTTAGACCTATACAAGTGATTTATAGGTTTGTTTGCTTGTCTGTTTTTATTTTCCAAGGTTCATATTGATCTGTTTCTTACTGTCTGAGTATGGGCCGGGTAGGTGGGACTTAATGAAGGGTTGTTCTATGAAGATCATCTTGCCTGGGGGCAACTAAGTGAGCTGGCTGACACTCTGAGAGGAGGGGGCAAGGCAACCCCGGATCACACAGTCAGTTTGTCACTCCTTCAGTGGGGTCCCCAATTCCCCTTTCTGTGCCCCAATCACGTTGTTGTCGTTCTGGCTGCCTGCTTTTGCCTCCCATTTCCTACTGAGAAAATTTTAATAATCAGGTTATCTGTGGTGACGTCTTTTCATGGGAGTATTAGTCAATTTGATTAACACTGATTAGGAATGAGAGTCACATTGACTTTCCAAATATATCATATGGTTGCATTGGAAGAGGCCAAAGCTATGAACTATTAGGAACAAGGCTGAGAAAACTTAATTCATGATCAATAAGAGAAACTGAGGTATTTCTGAATTTGGGGGACTCAAAGGGTACAACATGTAAAAGGAAATGCTTTCAGAAGTCATCTGCATCAAAATATTTTTAAAATATACTTTGTCTTTAAAATGAGAATTCTTAAATGGAATGATTATCTAAGTGGGTGCTAGGTATTTGTAATTTTAATGACATGCACAGTAAAATGATAATTGAAGCTCAAGCTGATTTGAGTACCACCTATGGTTGATTCTTCTCCTTTTTTGCTTTGCTCTGCCACTGATTAATTAACTCTCTCTACTTAGTAATGAACAACAACATGAAAACAAAACAAAATAAGAGAAAACACACATACAAAGCAAAATACAGTGGGAAATTTTTTAAACTAAGCTATGGTCCTTCAGAGTCTTTCCCTTGGAGCAGTTAAACTCTGCGTTCATTCTTGAATAACATCAACAAGGAATTCAGGTGTTAAAGTATATTCCTGTTTATCCACAAAGAGGGTTAAATGAGCTACATGGCTCTTATTTCATAACTGTATAGAGATTTCATGATTACCCTAAGATTGCATCATTGATAGAGAAAGGGACAGTGATGGAAATTGAAAAAGACTATGACCCAGTTGTGTGAGGGGCATTCCCTTTTTTTCCCCCACCCATCAGCAACAACACTGTGTTTAACCAAATGCATAAAGAAGTCTACTTTTCTGTGTTTTTGCTGTTCATTTGTAACTTGAAAAGTCCTGGGGACAGTGAATGTATCTTCAAAGCACAAAGCAAGGAAAACTTTACCTTTCCCACTTCCTTGCCCCAATATCAGAGTCCAGGCATGACTGCAGGAATCCTGGTTAATACTGCTGTTCATTATGCTCTGTTCCCTTTTTTCTCAAATATCAATAAGGAAAGGCAGTGCCTGCCAAGAAATTCCCATAACTGGCAACTACAGACGTGGGGAACAGCTTCCATCTATCAACTCTTGTGGGTTATTTTTAAAATATCATCCTTTCCTAAGCAAATCCTAGTAATTTGAAGAATGTTCAGCATTTGAGTCAAGGATTAACAGATATTTCATTTACCGAGCTGTGTGCTGGTTTCTGCTGGATCCAGAGAGGAGATGAGGTGCAGGAAGCATTCAGCTGTTTTAAGTTTCCTTTCCCTTCCTCCAGGGCCAGGCGCTTGCCAGCCTTGCTCAGTCCCTGGCTGTCTGACCACAATGACGCTGCAGGGCTCTGGGAGGGAAGGTGGGCAGCTGCTGGCTGCTGTTTCTGTGCTGCACTGGTCATTCACATCCGCGGCAGAGTGAAGCGTGGGGCGTCTCCATCTTTATTTGAGGCTCTATACTGAAAATAATGAACTTTTCTTTCAATCTGGTTTCCCAAACCATGTGCCACCTTAAGAGTGTTCTTTTGTGCTTTGTTTTAATCTTCTGGGTACTCAAGGAGTTCAAGAAATTGATCTGGATTTCTCAGTTTGTTCCCAAGCCTGTTGGAGAGCAACCACTTAAGTCATTTCAATGAATGCAGAAAGGAGAGTTCATGAATCATGGAAAAGTGCCCAGAAGTAAAAACTGTTGACGTGTCTGCTTTCCCTGGTCCACATTTAAAACATATTTTGTACTGTTGTCAAGGGTAGGATTACAGAAGAGGAGACTCACCACTTTGAGAAAGTCTCAGAATGAAGTGTGCAGATGAGTTCAGGTTTGCAGAGCTGGTGCTTTGGAACTTCCTTGCATGTTGTGCAAGCCATAACAACTGGCTAAGGGTTCCCTTCTCTTCCTTCCTTTGCTACTCTTTTCATTAATATTTCTTTGTTTAGGTGCTAATAAAGGTCACTGAAAATGTCTCCCCAGTGGTTTCAGAAATCCAGAAACTAAGGAACATCTATTAGGCTAGAAGCTGGAGGTGATGGTATTTTGGAATTACATTCTGGTCAGATCAAGATTGAAAATGTATTCTTTTGCCTATTGACTTTGAAATACATATATATATACATATATATATATATATATGTATATATATATACACACACACACATATATAACTAATATCTAATGTCTGAAGCATAAAAATAATCCTTTGATTACCTGAAGATTAGTGTTAATTTCTGTACATATTAGGCTAACTGCTGTGCTTTGTTATGAAGGACATAATAAAGTAAAATTTTAAGCCTTAACTTTATTTTTCCTGACTTGCTCCCTTGTTGGAGATAAGTCGTCTTTCATTCTCTGGTGGTTTATAACCACATATGCTCCAATGCTTCTTCCTCCTTTACATACTTTCAAATATTTCTAGTTCTATTAACTTAGTTCTCAGTGTTTTTATTGTTTCCTGTACACAACTTATTTTACCTAAGAATTGGCTCTTCAAAATGCCTCCAACTTTACTTCTTTCCATACATCACAAATTCCTACAACACACAGCCCATCTTGTAAGGCACTGTCCAATAGGTATTCCAAAACAGTACTGTCAAGTAATATTCCACTGCTCAAAATGTTTTGAATCCCTAGTGTTATGAGAAGGAAGTCTTAACTATTTTACGTTGTTATTAAGGTTTTCAAACCAATTCCATCCATTCCGTAGAGAATAAATTCCCAGTTCCCCAGACCACTCCACTCTTTCTCCCTAAGACATCTCCTCCATTACCTCTGTTGTTTTTTTTTTTTTTTTCCACTTTGCCACTCTTCTATGTTGCTTCTCTCCTCTGTTGTCTGTCAAGCTTTGTAGTTTCTTCAAGATATTGTCAACTCTCATTTTCTATCAAGTCTTCACTGTTTACATATTAGCATCTACACTCTAGCCCTGATATTACTCAGAAGCTACTACTTGGCCACTTTGACTATATAACCATATGAAAGTGCTTTATACATATTTATGGTTAAAAAATGCATTTGTTTATTTTTTCCAAAAACAAAGAGGGCCAATAGATCTATTTAATCAAATGTGAATTTCAAGGCTGATTGCAAACTGGTAAAGTACATAGTATTATTGTTTATGTTTCCTGCTAATCCGTAGGCAACCATTAATCAAAGCAGAATGATTTTATTTTGGTGGTAGAGAAGAACAATATTTTCTTGAACATTTACTGTATGTTAAATTACATTTATAAAAATTGATTTTTTAACATACTACTTTCCAACTCTATAATTTTAAATGGTGCTATAAATGGTTAGTTTATTAATTCATATATCAAAGTTTATGCAGTACCTACCAAGTGATGCTGAGGATGAAAACACAACAAAAAAATTAATGGCCTTAAAGCTCTGAGTTCTCAGACTCCAAGGGATTAAAAAAAACAAATAAACAATTGCTTACTCAATAATAAGAATTAAACCAAGTCCATAGGAAGTCTGAGGGGTCCATGAACAAAAGACAGACTATGGAATCATCTGCAAAGGTAGAGATTCATCTATATAATACTGAAAGAAGATCACTAGGTTTATGGGAAAAAAAAGTCTGAATTTAATTAACATAATGTAGAAGGAAGCAAATCTAATGGACATGTGTTCGGGTCCTAGCTCTGCCACTTGTAACACATGTGACCTGGCATCTCTGAATCTGTGTGTAGATGGGAGACTTCTTTAGAGAATGTCTGAGTCTCAAATAAGAAAATACATATAAATTACATAACTTGATACCCAGATGTTACAGTGTCTGAGAGTTGGGTAACTGAGTGTCTATATTCATGTTATTATAATTTCTAATTTTTCTAAGCCTTTATTTCCCCCTCCTCTTCCCCTATTCTGACTACAAAAAAAGTCAGGATTGTACTAAACATTCACTGATTATTATAGATTCTGAGATCCTTGGATAAAAAGTTTTCTATTCATGCAAGGTTTACTGGTAACTTAGAAAATTCTGGTTATGGACTGAAGCAAATATTTGCAGTTTTTCTTTCTAAGTTCTGTAGCAAGTTGAATATTTTCTTTTGATTTCCCCATTCACCATGGGTGAATAGTCATTTTCAGTTGAAAATTATTATAATGCTGGTGATACCATGGCTGATTCTGCTAGCAGGGTTGTAATAAATAGAAAGATACAGAGCTGTCATAGATGGCTTATCATATTATTTATAGGAAGAAATGAATAAGGAAATAAATAATAACAGAGAACTTGAATAAAACTAAGATTTTTTTTTAACTTCTAAACCAATTATTTCTTTTGTTTACAAGTTTTTAAAGAAATCAAAGCCACGACTTGAGAACTATTGATGGGTTTTGTTTTACATTAGAGGTATACCTTTATTTCTATAATTGAGGTGAAATCTCTTGTTTCAATGCATGTATTAATACCATAATTTTTATGGAGCATTTGATTCTTATTGACTTTGCTATTAAGTTCCAGAGATATAAGCAAGAGAATTTGATGAGTGTCTTTGTCTTTTCGGAATGCTATAACAAAATGCCCCAGACAA